CGTTAGAAAATATAAAATATAAACAAATTTATTATAAATTATATTAAATGAAAAATTTATTGAAATTAATTATATTATTTTTTATAATTTAAAAATTAAAATTAATTTACATTTATAATTTTTAAATTTTATTTAAAAAAATTTATTAAAATTAATTGTATATAAAAAATTTACATTAATAATTATATAATATTAAAAATGACAATAACAAATTTCTTATGAAAGACATTTAATAAAAGATTATTAAAATTTATTATATAAAAAATTAGAAATTCATTGTCACATGTTACAAATAGAAAAACATATTAATTAAATTATATAAAAATATTTTTATTTTATTTCACTAAATTATATTCATATATTTTATTTTAATTTATTAAATAAACATAAAATTATATTATTTTTAAGTGATATCATATATTAAATTTTATTTTTAATTAATTAATTATATCAAAATTATCAATATTTTCTTAATTAATCTCACTTACGATAGTATAAATTTATATTATTTAAAATAATATTAGAATCAACTTATCATGTTTATATTTTAAATTTTATAAATAAAAATATTTATAAATATACTGAAAATAAAATAAAATTTCATGTTATAAATATTTGATTATTATTATAGCACTTATAATGTATTTTAATTAAAATATCTAATCTAATTTATAATTTTTGTTTTGACGTATGTAACTTGATTATATTTATACGTAGATTAAATTTATATTCATTACAATTAACTATTTACTTTTATATTTTTTATACTTTTTTAAAAAATAAAAATTTATAATAAAGATCAACAACCTTAGATGAATTCTAAAATATATGATTGAAAAATAAAAGTTTAAATATTACTATTTTGAATGCTCTAAATATGTATTAAAAAAAAGAATTAATTAGTATTTATATAATATTAATTGATGAAAAAAATATTAATATTTATATTTTTTATTAAATTTTATTATTTTTAATAAATTCTAATTATTTTGTTTTTTATATATGTTGTTGTATATTAATTTTTAGTAATTTTTAAAAAAAATTAAAATTAATTTTATCCTTGTTTAAAGCAATTACTTGCATGCTTCAATAGGAGAGTGTATTACTTATAGATTCAAGGATATATTACAAGAAAAAAATATATAATCGATAAAAAAAATTTAATATTAAAAAATAAAAATAGATTTGATATGATTGAAAATAATTCTTTTATGTATAATTATTTGCTACAAGAAATAATTATAATTCTTTATTATATCTTTTGAGTTTGTGAACTTTGTAGATATAAAAAATTACTGTAAAAATAATATCTTAAAAAGTGTTTTGTAGTAAAATTTTATTATATAATTAATTTATATTTAATTTATTAATTAGTTTCTTAAACTTATTTATTTGATGAGTAGATGTGATTGAAATAATCATGCATAAATATTGTTAAAGAAAAAATAATTGCTTAAATCAAGATTAATGTCATAATACTTAAATTATAAAATATAAGGTAGAAACAACTATTTAAAGTTAGAAAATATTATAATTATAAAATATTTTGATTTTAGTTAAATCATTTTCAAGAAAAATAAAGTGAAAGTAACGTTATAATTTTGATGTTAAATAAAAATTATAAAAAATTGAATTAAAAATAGGATATTAAATTGAATAAAAATTTTAATGTTAAATCATTTTTACAACAATGCATTAAAACATGATATTAAATAAAAAATACAAACAACTCTAAAAATTAAATAAAAATAAAAAAATAAAATTTTATCATGATATATTTTTTATATTTGAAATATAAATTTTTTTATTTTAAAATAAAAAAAATTAATAAATAAATAAATTCGTACAATGAATAAATATATTTACTAATTTTAATGACTTTAAATATAATTAAAGTCAGATATTAATAATATATAAATTTAATGTAATGTTATAGAATTGAAAAAACAATTATTTCTTTAAGATAAATATGGTAAGCTGTTTTTTTTTTCTCTCACCTTTCGTCCCAGTCTTTATTATTTCACTCTTTCAAGGGAAAGTGCGAGTGATGAGATTCATAACATTGAAAATTTAAAAAGTGCTATTTATATATAAATATCTAATTTATATCTAATTTGTCACTGAAAATGTCAAGGTTAACTTTACATATACTTTTGAAAATGAAAAAATGTTTGATTGTTAAATTATTATTGCTAAAATTTTATATGTTGTTTCACAAAAATTAATATAATGAATAATTATAGTAAAGTGATTAAATTATTAAAAATTATATTTTATCTAAAACTATTAATGATATAAATATTAATGAAATTTACATACATGTAATTTATATTATTTAATATTTTTTATTAAATAGTTTATCTTAAAATTTATTGTTAGTTAAAATAATTTGTCATATATTTTACGTTTGTAAAATATTTTAAAACTTTTATATATTAATACATTAAAACTAATATATATATATATATATATATATATATATAATTTAATTATTCAACATATAAATTAATCATTCTTGATACGGAGTGTGATTTGTCATCCCTCTCCACTTTGTGTCCAAAACAATCGAAAACGCAATTGAAAGAAATTGGAGTGGGCACTTGTTATATACTAGCAATTAAAGATTAGTATTTTAATTTAAATTTAAATTTTAAATATACTTTGTCAATTTTAAATACATATTTAGGATGTTGTAAAAATTAATTATACCTCACTTTTCACTTTTGATATTACTTCATCCTACATTAATTATTAGTTTTAGTGTCTATAATTTTTATTAACGAAGAATCTAATAATATCAATGATAGATTTAATTTTGAAAATCTTGAAACTAGGTAATTAAAATGTTTAAATAAAAAATATGAGAAACCTCAAAAATTAAATAATAATTAATTGAAAAATCAAGTTAAGAAGAAAGCATTAAATAATAAAATTAAGCAATTAATGAATGGATTAGTAATTTTTTATTTTGATTGATAAAATATTTCTTGTTAGTGTATATATAGTTTTTATCAGCGATGGTCCAAAAATCTAATAAAATTAATGATAGATTTGATCGTGAAAATGTTTAATTTAGGTAATTAAATTATTTAAATAAAAAATGCTAGGAAACTCAAAAATAATAAAAAATAAAATAATAATTAATTGAAAAATTAAAATAACAAGAAAGCATCAAATAATAAAATCAAGCAATATGCATCAAGTAATAAATTTTTTATTTTGATTGATAAAATACTTCTTATTAATAAATATAGATTGTAATACACTTGAAAAAATTAATTTAAAATTTGTCCAAAATAAAAACTAGATTTAGGACTTGTACAAAAGTAATCAGCTTTAGATTTAATTTGAAGTATTGTCAAAGAAAAAGATACTAAATAAATTCCCTAAATGAATAATTAATAAATTAATACAAGAAGACAAAATATAATAAAATTTAACTTGAAGTATTTTGCTTATGGAACAATTTAAATGAAGCGCAACTCTTGTTGGCATAAAAAATTTAAGTAAAATAAAAAATAAATTACATAAAAGGTTAAAAAATTATATTTGTAAAATTTATATGTTATATATATATATATATATATATATATATATTATAATAGCGTCAACAAAAAGAATAAATATCTTTATTATTAAAAAATGAAAATTATATATAAAATATAAAAAATTGTATATAAAGTGGTAATTTTTTAAATTTTTTCAATATAATCTTATTTGAAAATTATTCAATGTAATAAAATTTTATTATTATATATTTTTTATATTTAAATTATAACTTTTTTATTTATTTTGAAATAAAATAATCTAATAAAAATATATAAACAAATCCGTGAAATGTATGAATATATTTGCTAATTTTAGGTGAATACAGTTATAGTCAGATATTAATAAATAAAAAAATTCATATATTAATAATATATAAATTTAATGTATTCTATACTATAGAATTAAAAGAAAAATTTTGGTACGCTGCTTTTTGTCTCTCACCTCTCATCCCAATCTTTGTTCTTTCACTCTTTCATACGAAAGTGCCTAACGATGACTGATGAGTCATTAATTCAAAAAAGTGCTATTTGCATATAAATATCCAATTTATATTTAATTTGTCACTAAAATATGTCAAGATTAATTTTACATATACTTTTAAAAATGAAAAAATGTTTGATTGTTAAATTATTATTGCTAAAATTTTATATATTATTTCACAAAAATTATTAATGTAATGAATAACAATAGTAAAGTGATTAGATTATTTAAATTTATATTTTATTTAAACCTAGTAATAATACAAATATTACTGAAGTTTACATTATTATCCGAATACCATACAATTTATATCATTTAATCATTTTATATTAAATAGTCTATCTTAAAATTTATTGTTAGTTATAAGTATTTGTCATAATATACACTAATATATACTATTTTATTTAACATAATATATACAAGATTCAAATTTGAGTTTTTATTTAAAAAAAACAAGCATATACCAATTAAATTTATTCCATTAACATCTTTGATTAACGATTCTGATAGGATATGAAAATACCAAGTGTTTTCAAGAATACGCAACTCAGGTAATTCACATAAATTAGGTGGATTATTAAACAATATCAATTGATTTTGTACGAGTTTGTAAAATATTATGCAAATGATGACAACAACTCATCAATAACGTTGAATTTTATTAATACAGACCCTGTTATAAAAAAAAAGTCCCTAAATATATGCTGTTAAAACTATCCACAAACTTATAAAATACAAAATTAAAAAGAAACTTGTTAAAGATCATGTCCAAAATTCTCAAGAGACTCTTCTTAAAGTGAATCAGTGGGTCTTGAACAATATTGTGTATCAAAGATCATGCCAAAATTGAGTGTTGGAGTTGTTGCTAAGCTGGGGTAGTACATCCAAAGAGTTCACTTATAGCTTGGTTTTGACAATGTAGATTATTTTGTTGAGGTGACAGTAAACCATAATCCAAAACAGAAGTGCTCCTACCAAAGGCTCCCAAAATCCATCATGCAAGGTGGTTGAACATCGATTGCATGAATTAGTTGACGAATTAGTGGATGTTGATGCTGCAATGTATCGATTGATGAAGGCCATGCTCCACCATTTGGAAGTACGATGGACTTTGGAAAATTGTTGGAAGGATATTTTGTGAGAGGATGCGCATGTGTTATAGCTTGTTCTGCATAGGAATTGTTGGGACATTGTATGGTCGATTGCATGAGGGGATCTTGCTCTGGAAGGTATGTCATTGTTTCATAAGGAACAATGCCTGTAGCTTCCAAAGCTTGAGGGAAATCCAATCTTCCACCAAATAACATGGATTCTCCAGCGTTTGGCATTAACATTTCATTCTGTTGCTGCACCACTCCATCATTTTTCTTCAAATTAAGTCTATATTTCTGTTAATCAAAATGATAATAATGTTAATCACTGTCAGAGCAATAAAGAACAACTGTATAATTTATAATCTATTTTCTTGATTTGGATTGAAAACAAAGCTATACACCTATATTTCATGTATGATTCTACGTGCCTACTACTTTCAATTGTAGAAAAAAATAATCAAACCTGCAAATGACTAGCAACATTCTCTCTTGTCAAACCAGGGACATTCATTACTTCAAGAATTTTCCTTGGCACGGCCTCTAAAAAATAAAGAAAAAGGAAAATTCTCATTAGCAAAATTGCATAAAATGCTTAAAATACTAACAATTCCTAGTGTCAAATTATGCCTTATACATTTATTGCTATATCACCAAGTAATTTCGTTCATTGCATGACAAGGTGAAAAGAATGCTAAAGAATCATACTATTAAGCCCAAGTTGCATCACAGCCTTGACAAATTCTAGATGCAGTTCTCTTGACCATGTTAGACGAGGCTTCTTTGTTGGAGGTTGATAACAACTATTCAATTCATCAACATCACCTTCCTTTGAATTACTCTTATTTTGGTCTAAGTTGCCAAGAGTTATGTGTAGTTTATTTTCCCTCCAAGATTTTCTAGCAACATGCTGCCACATATTCTTGAACCGTTCCTCCGACAAAGGTTTAAGCCAATAATCACAAGCTCCAAGTTCAATAGACTTTAAGACATCACTTTTAGAAGCATCAACAGACATCACTGCGAATTGCACATGATAATTAGAATAAAACAAGTTCAAAGCTTATGCACCAATCTCTAGAAAAGTTTAATTTACTTACTAATAACATGAACATCGATTTCTTGGCTAACATGCTGCAAGAATTCAAAACCATCCATATTTGGCATATGAACATCAACAAGTATCATATCAAAACACCCTTTTCTTTCGCGCACAACATTCAAAGCAAGTGATGAATTAGAGCATGCGGTGACTGCAACATGAATACAATCATTAACAAAGAAAGTTATATCTTTCTCTAACAAATAATAATAAATCAAAGAAAATACTAACTTTTCAATAAATAAAGTATAACGAACCTGAATAACAGTATCTCATACCCATTTGCTTGATGCTTTCAAGTACGTTGATGTCATTGTCAACGGCAAGTACCCTGAGACCTCTCGAAAATTGATAGGGAAGCATGTCTTTATATGAAGAATTTGGAAGAAAATATTGTGTTAGGGAAAATTTGAAGAATGGAAGAAGAGAATGTGGAGAAAGCGAGTGAGTGAGACAGTGGTTTTTATATTGTAAGGGTTGTGGAATTGGCGGGAATTGGCTTTTAAGTGATGCGTTGTTCGCGGCGTTTTGGATTCTTTCATATGTTCGGCGTTTTCAATCAAAGACAACAGTTGACCCCAATTGTCTAATAATATTTTTGTTTTTTAAGAAAAACAGATATTTACTAGCCATGTTTATAAATTTGTCAATTTAAGATTAGTATTTTAATTTTAATTTTAAATATACCTCGTCGATTTTAAATACATATTTAGGTAAAAAAAATTAGGAACTTTAAAATGTTAAGCAATTTATTTCTTTTAATTTATTTTATTATTAATTTGTAGTACTTTTAAATATTAATTTTTAATTTACTTTGAATTTAATTTAATTCTAGTTTAAAATTTTGGTACATTATATCAAATTTAAAAATGTTTTAATCTGAATTTAATTTAATTTAATTTACTTTTAAATATTATTTATTACGAGTATGTATATTATTTACCTTAATCTGAATTCTGTTACCTATTTAATTTCAAACGCCAAACTATCAAACTATTGCATTGCTTTTAACTTGTCATTTAACTTTTTTTTTTCCTTCAACCAAACCGTGTTTTGTTTTTATTTTATTTTATTAATTTGTACTCTTTATTAATATATTCTTTATATTAAATGTGACATTAATAAAAATAATCAAGAAAGATTAATTAAAAATAAAAAAATTAATTTATAATTTTTTTTAAATAGCTTATAAAAAATATTTGTTACGGTATCCGTAAACTTAAGAGAATATTATATATATATATATATATATTAATGATTATAATTCTTCTAATATTTTAAAAAATAAAAAATATTAACGTCTTTTTTAATTAAACTACTAATTTTATTATTTATTATCATAAAATTAACAGTAACGATTATTTCATATAAAAGAGGATATCAAATACTTTTAATTATAAAATTTACAGTAAATTTTATCCTTATAAAATCTATTTTGCATTAGACACTATTTTATTATTCTTATCATATAAGATGTTATTTTTATTTTATATTATTAAAATGTACTTATTTTATGTATTTTAAATACCATTAAAGTCAGATATTAATGATGTATAAATTTAATACTATATATTATAATATTAAAAAGAAAATGATCTTTCTTTATTTCAATCTTTATCTTTTCACTCTTTCAAGTTTCAAACAAAATTTCTTACTTGCCAATCATTTATACCATTGAGCTAGATTTCAGCAAGTGTCTATTATTTAATTTTATCATCAAAATATGTCAAGATTAAGTTCAAATATACTTTTAAATGTAGGGGAAAAGTTTATTTGATTATTATAGCTAAAATTTTATATAAAAGTTTTGTTGGATATTTTTTGTATGGACTGACATAAATCAATTTTTGTTATAACTTTAATTTAATTTCAGATTAATTTGATAACAAAATATTGTTGTTTAGCTCATGTTATAAATAATTATTGTTATTGGACTTATTTGTAATAATTTTACGGTTATTAGTAGATATGATTTTATAATTATTATTATTGGGTTGAGCCATAGTGAGTAGATTTGACTCATCTTGTTATTAACTAGAGAGACCTCTGCTCCTAATCACTTTAGAGTAATTGTTACCCTATTGAGATAATGTACGTAGAAATCTGAAAGGTGATAGGAGGAGTTCTCTCACTACTTTGGTTTCTCTCTCGTTAACCAAGGAAGCATTTAGTCATGGACTTATCAACCTTAATTGTTTCGGGTAATTCTAACACCTACTCTTATTATAGCGTTTGTTTAACACTTGTCATAATGAGAATTATATTCTATTTTTCCTTCAAGTGGTATAAGAGCTTGTCTAATTCTGATATGTCAGTCATATACGGTTGTTTGAAAAATATATATTCATACAAACGATGAGCTTAATTTAAGATTTTGAGTCTTCTTTGATTTATCTCAAAATTAATTTGGGGCTTTTGTTATTGTTAATATTGTGAATAAATTGACATGAAAATCGAGAATTTTGGTTTTAAAATTATAAACCCTAACTTTTGAATCTAATTGGAATTTGAAAAACCCCAAATCCATACGTTTGTGAAAAACTTTCAATTCCTTAGGTTTTTTTTTTTTTATATATATATAATACGAAATTTTAAATCTTTTGACACCAAAATCATGAATTTTCATCAAGTATTGAGGGAGAAATAATGAAAAACCTCAAACTACCTATTTTTTTCATGGCGTTATCTAAGATGTTAGAGACTATGATTTGAAACCAAAAAAAAATTGTTAAATTATTTTAATAATCTTATTATAGTGGCCTATGTAACTTATAACATGACTCTAATTAATAATAAAGAGTTCTTAAATTAAGTTCTCAAAATATTGTCTCACAAGGATTGTTTTCCAATTACTAAGAATTTCCTAATTCAATTTTTAAGCTTAAAAGATATGACATTAATTAAGACAAGAATTTATAAAATTAATTATAAAACTAAGGGCAAGGAATAGAATGCTCGTCTTAGTTAAACTTATCGGAGAGGAACCTAGGACATATGGATTTTCTCATTCAATCCTTTATGTTATTCTTCTGTTTAACTCTAAATTCAATTTCCTTGTGATTACCAATCATTCATACGAATACTATTAATACCCAATGGTCATGTAATATTAATATTCTTTTCTCTAAATTAACATCCCCAATGGTCATGCAAGATATCAATTTAAGAAAGCTTAAAGAAACTATGAACTTGTTAATTTAATAACGATTAGAAGAAAAAGATTGGTTTGGTCCACCTAATCCTTTGTCTCGTTTTACCCTATAGATCTATTAATTAACTGAGGTACGGTCGCCTGACGATATGATTAATTAGGATTAAGAAATAAACGCAATAGGATAAAATCTAATTACAAAATGGAAATCAAATTTAGATTCAAACATCAAAATTTCATAAAGACTCTTGATAATTGGGCTCCTCGCAGATGAGCACGATCGTGCAAGGCCTTAAGCACGACCATGCATGGGCTCAAAGCACCCCTCGTGCTTGTTGAAAGGGTCTGGGCGTGTTGACTACTACGAAGCTCTAATCTTCCATCAATTTGGGTCCAAAATGCACCCAACATCCACTTGCGACCTCTTTATACCAAGTAGTGTAAAATCCAAATAAAATAAAGGTAAAATATGAATATATGGGCTGTAAAATAGGGTCTAATTACAGACTTATCAGTGACCTATGTAACTTATAGCATGACTCTAATTAATTATTTAATATGATAGCGATTAAATATAAAATATAGAGTCATTGAGAGTATAATTGTATTACAATTATAAGGAAATCCTCCCCTCTCCCTTCAAAAAATAAAATAAAATAAAATAACAGTTACCAAATAGAGGTTATGATATTCTCTATTCTCTATCACTTTCACGGTCTCTAAGTGTGTCACGGTAAACGTAAGAAAGAAACTTTCTCTCAACCATCCGAGATGAGCTAAAAGAAAAAGGAAGAGTCAGGAAAATACAAAGGGATCAACGATATCAAAGAGAGAGGTAACATCAAGGAACAATGGATTCAAGTTAGTGCTCTCTAAACCCTTGATTGTGTGAGCATATGTATTGTATAGTGAGAACAACGTAATTCGAGATCCTAAGGGAAATGGTAATTTCATAATAGCTGAATCAAATAGAAATTACATAATGGAATAAGAAAATTCTAACAGTTTGTATCAAAGTAAGATTGTGAATTTCGTTGATTCTCCATAAAAGATTGGTTCTTCATTAAAGTTTTCCCCAAAATTGCATAAACCCTAGGTATTTTATATAATGGATGACATAATTTTGATGTTAAATAATTGTTTTGGATTCAATAATTGAAAATCCTAAGGTTTTGGAAGCTAGAAACGTTAGATTTTGAATCTATAATATGAGTAGGACCATGTATCAGTGAGTAGGGCCATATACCAATGAGTAGGACCATGCATCAGGGAGCAGGCACATCAGGAACAACCACGGCTATGCTTCAACGAAGCATAACCTTGCATAATGGAAGCATGGCCATGCATCAATTATAACCACAACCATGCATCAAGAAGCACAGCCATGCTTCAGGAAGCAGGGGCATGCATCAGAAATAAGTCTGGCTTTGCTTCATCGAAGCACGGCCATGCATCAAGTAAAAGCACGGCTGTGCATAGTGATTTCACGGCAGAATAAGGAATATAATTCATAAAATTTATAGATCATTTTAGAATTATATCAAAGTGGATTTTACTCACCAAAGTGATTAAATTCTCAAATTAATTAATTTTAAATTGTATGATCATAATGGAAACATCACAATTTAGTGCTTAATTTTAAGGGTAGCTTGTTAGTCACCAAAGTGGCCTAGCTTTGAAAGTTTGTTTAAGCATTTAATTGTGTATTGTAAATTATTCAAAATTGTTCGATGCTATGTGGTAACATAAAGGGTGAACAATTTAGCTTATTAATTATAATCTAGAAGATCACCTAAAGGTGGATCATTGCATATAATTAATGATATAAGAGACATGAATACACTTTATAATATGTTTGTGCATCCAAAGATGACTTGCATATTGGTTTGAGTGACTGATTGTCAATTAAAGTTATTTATTTAGCATCATTATAGATAAATTTTGTATTTAGGCATTACCCAAAGGTAAACTTATATACATAATTGATGACCGTTGGTTGTCTGAATCCATTAAGTTTATTCAAAGCGTAAATGTTTAAGCATGTGTTAAATATTTTAGTCCCTATGAGTACGTATGGCATGAGCAATGGCGTAGTCAAGTTCAATGGGCTCAATTATGATGATTGGGCCGAACAAGTTTGATTCCAACTAGGTGTTATGGACTTGGACCTAGCAATTATTATGGAACAAGAGCCTGTAGCCATCACAGAGAC